CTGATCTTATAGAGTTTGTAATCATGTTAACAAATGTGAAAATGCAACTCTTCCTAAGATTACCAGAGTACAAACTAATTCTTTTTCATACTGCCCAATATTCACTCCATCGAAAAATCATTGCTTTACTAAAGAGGCTTTCTCTGATTATGAAACTGTAACTGGAAATTTCGAGGCATCGGCTAAAAATTTGGGCTCACAGTTCTCAATTTACTTTCTCAACCTTTTATAAAATATTATTATTTTCTCAAGAAATCCTATCCTTGTTCAAAACATCAGGTTGAAAATTTCAAAAAGAAAACTCGTTCTACATTCGGATTCCTCAACTCTAACTTTTTTTGGTCAAACTTTATAGAAAAATCTTCATATATATTCATGGGCACGTGCCGGTATATATATGACTGCAAACAAACACATAAACTAGCAAACTCATTCTATTTCATATGAATCAGAGTGCGAAACGAATGAGAAAATCTATATTCGATTCGATTCGATTCGTCTTCCACTAAGAGTAGAAATAATGCTACTGTTCGCGTACACCATATTTGACATACATGTTCTGCTTGTTTCTTCGTTAGGTATTTATTCTATTATTTTCCTCAACTTATCTATACGTGGTATTTCCATACCCATTTTGTGATCATTTAGTTCTGTAACACCATCTGTATGTAAGAAAACAGATTTTACAGAATAAAATTGCTCGTTAAACTTCTACGTCGATCATTCTTATAAATAAGATTGTACTTAATTCTTGAACAGTCAAAATTTCACAACATGAGGGCATGTCGCAAAACTGAACCAGGGAGAACCAACCGCTACGAAAATTAACCAAAACACTTAACCATAAAATCATAAAAGGTCGTTTTCTTTGTACTCCTTCATTTAAAAGCAATAACCAAAACATTTGAAAAAGAATAAATGAGTTGGCATAATTAAACAGTATCGATATGAATAGATAAACATGTCGCTTTACTTATACATGTCTATCGTTAAGAATAAATATATTATTTCTATTATGAAATTTATTAAGTCAAAAGACTCTCTTTACAGTTGTCAATAACTATGGATCAATAAAGTGTTTAACTTATTGAAGAATCATTAGATTATATCATACATATTCGTTATTTGATTACACGTTCTTAGTTAACAAATGCGTTTCAATAATTAGAGAAAGTTAATTACAACTCTGAAATTGGTGTTGTATCCTCTTGTATGTGTTGTTCATGTATAATCAAATCAAGAAAAACAAGATGATGATAAACATGGACATATGACAGCAGATCAATAGGTAAATTTTTTGTTTTATTTTAAATTTAATTGACTTAAAAAATAAAAATAAAAAATTTTCATTTAGAGTTTTGAATCAGATACAAAAATCAAATCATCAGATACCAACATTGATACTTAATGCATTTAAATGTGCAATGAATTCAGCTGATGAGCTTTTATTTCATGATCATTTATCATTAGATAATCCAAATTGTCATCTAAGGATTTTATACATCATTTGTACTGAAAAAATGGCAAGTTTCTGATAATGAACCAAATCAAGCATTTGAACATATTATTGTAGTAACTGGCGTGAATTTGTATCAATATATAACTAATGGTGAAAGATGACAAAAAAAATAAAAACAAAGAAATATCGATACTGTCAGATGTATGCGTTATGAAAAAAAAAACAAACTATGGTATTGATTAGATGAAATAAATTTTTCTATACTATCTTACCTTTCGAATCATTTTTTTTCTATTTAATATACACATGCACATTGTACATATTTTTTCGATGCGTTATGTTCTCGATTGTATGATAATACTTATTTGATTATATCTCGAAATAGTTCCATCATTATTTCAAGTTTTTTTTCTTAATTTGTGTTGTTGTCTTGTAAAAGGTTTGTAAGTGATTTTTTTTGCGCTCTTTATCTCTTTTTGTGTCTTCTGGTTTTTTCATACCTTTTTTCTATTCTCACACTTATATTTTTACTTTTTGACATTAGTTGGACTATCATATTCATATAGTAGGTAATTATTATGTAATACTTAAAAAGATAGTTATATTTCTTTGATCAATGATTTTATTACTTTTTACTCAAAATTTTTTGACATTGAAATTTGAGTTATTAAAATTTTCAACCTCAAAAAAAATAATTATATTAGAGGACAATTATGAAAACACATAAACTCTTGAAATTTATCAATAGAACGATTGACAAATAATTTAGAAGGTTTTCGAAGTTCACTTTCATTAAAACAAGTTATTAAAAAGTTTAATTGTTTATGATCTAGATGTTCTAATGCATCGATTAAAAAATTGCTATTGTTGAGTCGACAATAAAATTCTCATGAGTTCTTTATAATTTCTTTCGTAAGAATTTGGAAGCCAAGATTGAATCCGTAGAGACTTCGAGCTTGATGTCTTCAAATCTATTGAAAATTTTTGAAAACTTATGAAAATCTTTTTAAGTTTTTTTTTGAAGAAATTCTGAAGTGCTCAAGTCTTTGTATGTAAAATCTCTTGAAATTTTTCGAAGTCTTCAAGTCTGCATTATCTCCTTATCTGGACCAGTGCGTAGAAAAGGTCTTATTTAGGATAGGCTTGACACACCTGTAACTTACTCTATATTATTTTTAAGAAAATAATACTTTGATGATAGTTGAATAGAAGCAGAAAGCTCTTGTTATACGAAGACAATGAAATTATATGTATATATCACTGTGACATAATTATACGAAACATTTATTGTTTTAATACAATATGTATCTATCGAAAACAGACAAGAATAAAAAAAAATACGTTAATATTCAGAAAAAATTCAGTTTTTTGAGTAAAAATGTTTTGAATAAATTGAATGAATCTATTGTCAAAGTCAGAGTCAAATAAACGTAGACATTTTCTTGATAACTTGAAAACAAAAAAAGGAGAAAAATTAATCAAATTTTGAATACTATCTACAGTCAATATTGCTTTATTTTTTCTGTCAGAAAATTTATGAAAAATTCCCTTCGATTTTCTCCTTACAAAATATTATTCTTGACTTCCTCCATTCTTTCAAATTAAGGTTAACTATGTAGATTGTATATTAAATATGCGAAAACAATCGAACTTCACAATAACTCTATTATCAACAGACAAAATTTAGTATTTCATTTCATAGACAGCAAAAGTATTGTCATGAGAAGCATGAACACTTGCTTTAAAATTTAGAAAAACTTGAGAAAACCATTTTTTTAACGAGCCTATTCTATAGTATAGTCAGCAAGATGGAAACAAACAACGCCTATAACAAACTCACAATGTATGAAAATCATAAAATATTGTATAAAACTCAAAATTCAACTCATTCTTAAAATATACATTATTGATTTCCATTGTGGTACAAAAGGATGTGATTGAATGTGTCTGTGAGATATGAATGTAGGTGCATGGATGATCAATGGAAAGCCCAGATTAGTCAGACTCAAGTCTCGACAGAATTTAGCACTGGTAAACTAACGAGGGAATGTTTTCTTAACTGTCCAATCGCTTTTGAGTTCTAACTCTGTTCATAAGGTAAACCACATTGAAATATGAAAAACTCTAAAAGGATAAATGCCCTCAAATCTTCTGTTTAGAGTTATAGATATTTTATTGCAATTTTAGGCTATGACATGATATATGTATATACCAGCAAATCGAATGACCGTATTTTGAACTGAGATTTTGCCCACAAACTGGTTTATGTATAAGTAAAAAGTTTTGAAAATTTTAGATCAAAAATATGTTTCCTTCTCGAAGTATTAAAGTATCAAAAACATACAATTCTAGCATCTTTCATGAGATATGAGTGATATTTGAGACTTTGACATCTCGGAAAGAAAACTTTTTTTTGAACTGAAATTTTCAAGACATTTTACCTATAAATACACCAGTTTGCAGACAAAATCTCAGCTCGAAATATGATCATTCGATTTGTTACTATATACCATACCATAGGTTAATATTATAGTAAAATGTCGATAACTATGACCAAAAAGTCTACGAGAATCTATCCTTTTAGGATTTTTCATATCTCAATGAGGTTTACTTAATGCACAGAGTTGAAACTCAAAAGTGATTTAACAATTACAAATGTTCCATTGTAAGCTTTGCACGAAGTACTATAAGACTTTATCACATTGGATGTGGGTATGGGGGTTGATGTCAGTGTGGTTACGTGTAGATGTGAGTGTAGCCTTAGGGAATGAGAATAGACATCCATAAAACCAACACTCTGATTAGTATCGTGCATCGGATCGAGTTTTTAAAGCTGGCACATCTGTCGCTATACATAGCGGCTATAACTAGCAACAGATGTGCCGGCTTTGAAAATCCGATCCGATGCAAGACACTAACCCAGATCGACACCCCACAAATAAATTCTGCTCACACTCACACACTCCAAAGCTGTATCATGTACTTGTGAGAAGATATGCCTTACAACATTTAAAATAACTAATTGATAAAAAGATTCCAATATAGATAAAAGGCTATTTTGGGTGTGATTAGTTCGATAATTATATCTCAGTCAAAATGAATTCGTTATATTTAAAAATTTGGCTGTGTTCCTAAAAAACGTTAGCTCTGATAATCGGATAACTTTCGTCGAAATTTGAAATATCAATTGAATGTAGTCCAGCGTGGCTCTTGTGTGATGACTCGTAAGATTAGTTAGTTGATGAAAAACTTTCTTTTGAATTCAGCAAAAAAACAGCAAGATAAATAAATAGTATCTGATGATGCCCTTTTATGTTAAAAATTAAATCGTTAAGTTTTTCGTATTTTAGAGACGTCGAATACAATTTTTATGTTAATTAAAGGATTCTATCGAAGATGAATATAAATGTACTCTTGGTTTTGCTATTAAATCTTTCTTTGATTTCAAACAAAAAATGATTTCTTTGTATGACATATATCTGTATTAACAAAGCGCCATATTGATATTGTTCTCATTAATGATCATTTTAGGTTCGATATCATGTCGAATAAAAAACAAAAGAAACGAGAAAAGAAAATTTCTCGTAAATCAATTCATTACATTCAACTTCGAACACATCGACAATGGCCCAATCAACTGAATTATATGTCTCATTTAGAAGTATATCATTCGAAAATCAAATCGATTACATATGATATTGATCGTCTTTTAAATAGCAAATGGATTTATATTCGACAACCACAAGTGATTAATCAATTCAATGAAATTTATCAACAAGAAATTAAAAATTATTTTTTACATAGAGTAATTTAAAGAAAAATCAAAGTTTTTTTGATTATTTTGTTTTCCTTTTTAGATAAATTTATTTGATTATAAATATTCTTGTTTAAATAATCAATTTGATGAAAATAATAAATTCATACGAGAAATTTTTATTCGTTCAATTGAAATAACTGATTATCTATTATATTTATATCAACAAATAGAAAATAGTGAACGTCATATTTATGAATATCGTTTAAATATATTAAAATATGAATTCGAACAAGAACGAGAATCTTTAAGACATTTATTTATTGATCAACACTTTTATGAACTTGATAATCAAATAAATATTTTAAATGTTATTGAACAAGAAGATACTCTCAAACAATATATTCAATTTAAATTTGAAAAACAACAATTAAAAGAAATATTTGTGAAAGATATCACTATGTTACATGTTAATTTTAAAACACAAATTGCTTTTTTAAGATTAACTATAAATAGAGTTAGTATCAATGAAATACTTCTGTTTCTTCGAGATTATCTCAAGACCTAATTCATATTTACCAGTAAATATGTTATCTAGTGAATGTAGTGAGCTCGGATTATCATGCTACCCGTATGTCACACAAATCTTCGGATATTCAACGGCTTTTTAGCACTCGACTACAAAATATTGATATTACTAACTTGTTGAAAATATTTTTTTTGTAGAGTGCTATAGAAACTGGGCAGAATATCTTGTAAGTATCCGTATATTCAGACAGTTCTCAGAAGAATGCTAAATCCAAAACCTGTGACATACTCTAGTGTAATAGGATGTGAGAAAAGGTACTCTGCTGACAACTAACTCAGCGCATAGATACATTGAACTGTGTGCATTCACGAAGGTTCTCATGCATTGTAAAAATCAAAGTAAATAACAGAAATTAAGAAAAATAAGACATTAAACGAATTGGAAATAAAAGAAGTTTATTAAACATATTCACTGAGGAAAGCACTATGTGAGAATTAGTTGTTCTCACACAGATGAAATTTTAATGCCGAAACTAAGAATTAATGTTGAAAAATAGTTGCAAGTCAAAAATTACTTTTTTTTTTCGTGAAAATCTTGCTCTAAATGAAAAACGTCTGTCAGTATTCCTGTTATTAACATCTTTATCAGATTAACAGCAAAAGAACCGTTATTAGTCAACTTTGTACAAGATTTGACATATTCTTTTTTTTATTAACCACCAGATCATTGTTTAACATATTCTATGCACATAACAGTTTCCAAATCACATACTATAAGTTTTTCAATTTCTAAAATTCAGTGTGAATAGTCGTATGAAAAGTTTTTTTTACAAAATAAAGCATTCTTCAGCTCTCTCTCTACAACATTTTTTTACTGAGATACATCAGTCTTACGAATAGACATAGCAATGATGTTTTCATTCGAAACAACAAGAAATAATTGACTTATATACTTTTCGTAAAATTGATATAGCTTTGATCAAAAAACATCGTAGAGAACTACAAGATATGTCATTCTGAGTTATTCGTACAAAATCCTAGAAGTTAAAAAACTTAGTTTTAAGTTTCTCAGAGACTCTATCTTTGAGAAAATAACAATCATTTTCAAAAATTTTCGTTGGAAATAAAATTTTAGCGTTTACCATAGGGAAAACAAAGATTGAAAATGAACGTGACAAACTATCTGTTTGTAAAATCAATAGATGCGAAAAATATGTCTTACTTGAACAGGGTTTCTTTTTTTGAATAGTTCTACTTATAAAAGTAATTTACTAGAATTATTTAATATAAATTATAATCTGCGATATTATTTCTCATACACAGATAATCCATTCAAATGAACAACAAACGAACATAACTTCCAAACATTGTCATTACTTACATGAAAAAACACGTAAAGCAAAAGAACGTATTAATCAAGAAATAAAATCAATTTATATTTTAAAAAGAAAAATTAAAGAAACAAGAACTCGAATTGAACAAATTGAAGGCAATAGAAATCATGTTAATGATAAACTTAATCAACTTAAACAATGTTCAGATTATCATCAAAGTAAATAGAAAAAATAACAACATGATTAAGAAAACATATTATTTGTAAATAAATATCTAGATAATTTAGTCTCAAAAAAAAAATTTTCCAATATTTTTCGGCAAAATAAAAATGAATTAATCTTACGTCGTCTATCTGTTCTTATTGATAATATTCAAAAACAATGTCAAAAAAAATTATTTAAAGTTGAACGTATATTATTATTAATAAATCAATGTCATCGATTAGAATTAGAAGATGAAAATCTTCTTTTAACAATGTCAAAAATTGATTTTAATCAAATAAATAATAAAATTATATCACAAATTTATTATTTTCATAATTGTCGTTTTGAATTTGATTCATTTTTTGATGAATTATCATTATTTTGGAAACGATTTGCTCATGTTCAAATGGATATTTATATTCGAATTCAAGAAAAACATTCTCTAAAAAAATTTCAAACATTTTCTCAAAAACAATTAAAAATTTTCATTTAAAGTTCTATTCGAAAAATAATAATCTGGTGTTGCTTCAAGTAAATGACGAATCAATTGAATTACTGTTTCATTTTTTGAACTTAATGCATCTGTATAAGTTTTTAATTTAGTAAAACGATATTGATAACGATATAATAATAAACCTTGAGTATATTGATATAAAGAACTATGTTCTGTATCATGTAAAATAACAATATCACTTCGATGTGAATATCCCATTAAATCAAATTGACGTCGTGGTCCTGGTCGATGATCAATAAATACAACAGTCCAATTTTTATAATATGCAAGGTTTGATGAAGCCCATTCGATACCCATTTCACTTTTAATTTCAACATATTTTAATTGATGAAAAGTGTTATTTTCGGCAAAAGAAGAAAAATGATTAATCCATCGAAGATCAGAATCTGCTGATAAAAGAAAACGTTTTTGTTCCAATGCTAAACGATGTAATAATGGAGTACTTGTTGTTCCCATGCCTAATTCAAGTATTGGACCTGATTTTGTAGCATATAATGCAGCAAGAAGAACAATTGCATGTGAACCATAATGATTATCAAGTGGTAATTGTAAATATTTATGAATCATTCGATTCCATTCTATTAAAATTCTATCTTCTTCAATTATATTTAAATATTTTTCAATATTTAATATTTGGTTTTCAATTTTCGTTATTCGATTTTCATTTGTTTTACTTAAAGAAAATGAAAAATAAAAAATAACTAATAATGCAGTGATACTACCACCGATTAACAGATGAATTTTCATATTGTTGTTTTAATTCGTTTTGTCCTTTAAAATTCGAACAAAACTTTTGCGTTTGTATTTATTTTACTAAATTCGAATAGAAGAGAAAGAGCGAAAAAAATTCTTCTGACATTAAAAAGTAATGTAAAAGAATCAACTTGTTTTTTTCTTTCTTCATTGCTGAATTTTATGTTTAGTTTAGTGTGTAATAGATTAAGATGTAGTGCATATTGTTGATCATTTAAAAAGCATTATTTTCAACGGCATCCTAAATAAGTTATGTTTATCATATCATCATGTTTTTTTCTCTTATGTACATTCTTCACTTGTTTTATGCATCCTGTAAAAGTACAACTTTCTTTCAATCTAATTGTTTCTTGTATACAGATGGTGGGTTTTTAATTAAATTTTTCTTCTAATATTTCACTGGATAGATCTCTAAAAGTTAAATAAGTTTTGTTTTTTTTTGTCAGAAATAGATATGTAAAATTCGTCCTTCACTGTAACTGAGTGACATCAAATACAAATACTATGTAAAAAATACTCATGGAGAACCTTGGTAGTTCTCATGTAGTTTTCAAAAGAAGAAAACTTTTTTTTAATCATATTTTCTTTATAACGCATTGATTTATGATGACAATATGTGTTAAATATATTCTGTCAATTACTTATATTTTCTTTGTTTGTATAGTGTCGATATCGAAACGATTTGTACCGTAGAGTTTAGTGGCACAATTAGAGATATGAGACTCCAATAGGTGCTTTGAGATGTTCTTTCACCGATAGAATATATGCCAACTAAACTTTGCCACACGTCCTTCAATCAGGCAGAATCTAACCATCTGGGATCTTTTCCTCATCTGAAGAACCTGCTCATATTAAGCCTCACTCCTGTCAAACCTTGGTTACACCTCTAGTAGAGTTGAATTAATAACATTGATAAGACTATACGCAAAAATCAGTCTTAGAATGTACAGTTCATAGATCTATTTAAAATTTGTTCTACTACATAAGATATAATGATACTCTGAATTAATCGAAAATTCGACTGCCAGAGACATCTATAAATCATATTATATTGACATTTATAAAAATAATTTCAAATAGTATTTCAATATTAAAGTATGATTATTTAAAGAACTTTTCATTAAAAAAATAATGAGGATTTCAATGTGGAATTTGACTGAAATTTAAACCAATGAAATGAAACTATAACAAATCAATAAACAACAGACATATACTTTTTTTTCTATTTGTTTCTTCGATATTATGTACAGAATAGCATAAATATATATTCTTATTTAACTATAATATGTTGATTATTAATTATAGATTTCCATCTTAAATTATGGGACCAAAAAAAGAAACAAAAGAGGCTTCGGCTTCAGCAAAAAAGAAAGATACTCCAACTGCTACAGCAACAGCTAGTGCCAAAAAACCTACAAAACCAACAGGTAGTGCAACAACTACTACGAAAGTAGTTACTAAAGAACGTAAAGAAAAGGTTAAAACAACGGCACTTAAAGCTAAACAACGAGTTGTTCGGTAAATAAAATAAATTTTCTAAATAAACAAATAAAATTTACAAAAAAATTTTCTAGTGGAAATCAATTAACACGTAAGCGTAAAATATATACGAAACCAAGATTTCGTCGTCCATTTACACTTCGTTTACAACGTCAACCAAAATATCCACGACGATCGGTACCAAAACGAAATCGTCTTGATCATTTTGCTATTGTTAAATATCCGTTAACAACAGAATCGGCTATGAAAAAAATTGAAGATAATAATACATTAGTATTCATTGTCAATATTCGTGCCAATAAACCATTAATTAAACAAGCCGTCAAAAAAATGTATGATGTTGAAGCTGAAAAAGTCAATACATTAATTCGACCTGATGGAGAAAAGAAAGCTTATGTTAGACTTAAAGCTGATCATGACGCACTTGATGTTGCTAATCGAATTGGTATTATATAAACTAATAGCCAAAACGATACAAGAAAAGCAAAAGAAGAATTTTACTATATGTTTTTTTTTTCTTCTTGTTTGTTTACGCTCAATTTTAGAAAACCAACAAATAAAAACAAACATAATTGAGCATTAAAATCTTCTTTTTTTTTATTATCTCAATCGTAATTTCAAAATAATATATACTTTTAGGATAAAAGTATAAATTTAACATAGAAATTACATGAAAGATGATAGAAGTTTCAGTCGAAATAGCAAAGAACAAAATTTTTTAATGAAAGAATTGCTTTGAAAATAAAATATCTCTTCCTTCCTTCCCAGAATAAAAAGTACGTTTGGAAAACTTATAGCTTTTTATTCTTGAGATGAAAGAGTATCTTCTTTTGATTAGTCTTCTGAATTATTCATATTAGAGTATATTTTATTACTCGTGAAGGCTCCTCTTTGCAATATCATCTCTTGTCTAGTGTTTCTCATAACTATACAATTGCATTGTTTTTTTTTTATTTTCAATTCTTTATGAACAATAGCAAATCATAAATGCTTCTGTATAGTTTTCATATTATTTATATATGCAACGAATTTGAACGTTCTGGCTCAATGTTAACTGAAGTCATTTTCGATTAATTAATAAAAGGAAGTAGAAGTAAACTAAGAGAAAATATTTTACTCAATGATGCTTAAAAACACTTGAGCTCGAAATTTGGTCGAATTTTAGAGTGCTTCAATCGTTGTTCAGGTGCCTCAAAAAAAAAGTACATGGGCACATGACCTATATATTCGACAATAAGATGGTTGGATAGCTCACGAGCTCGATCTGGCTATTCTCAATGATGAAGTGTAGTTCGACATAATAGAAGATGTTATTATTCAATTTTCATTTCTTGAATTAATGATATGTTTAAGCATTAGTTTTTATTGAAAGTCAATCAATAACTTCGTAAGAATAACAATAAGAATGAATAGAGAAAAAAAGCACCAAAAAATAAATAACAAGCAAAAAGAAACAGATCAATGAAAACAATTCTCAAAATAAATTTTAAAAAATCTATAAAAAAATTATAAATGACAAATGATAATAATAATCATTCGCTGAATTCGTAATTTTAACTTAAATAATTTGGCATTTTGATACTAAAATAAAATTTAAGAAAAATTCTTCTTTTCTGTTTAATTTTTCCAGGAAGAATTTTTACCGAATAAAAATTTTAGTTACACAATACGCAACAAGAATAACGATCACTGAGCAAAGAATCATTAAAATACGATTAAGACGCTGCATATTTGGTTTGTTTGTTTCATCAAGTAAAATAAATCTAAGACCGCCTAACACAAACATAAATGAAGCAGCGAGATCTTCCATTATATATTGTCCATTAATACGCTAAGCCATAAAAGCAATTGGTTTATGATGACCATATGCATCGGTTGTACTACCTGAATTACAAACATAAATATAATTGAGATCAAGTCTGTTTTCTTTTTCATTCTACTGACGAACACTAGGTGGTTCAATGATAATATCATAGATAACACCAGCAGTAACAAGAAAATAAGATACATGTAATCCAAATAAAACACTAAAAAGTAGAAATAAATATACGAGAGATTTCCAAGAAACAATCTTACGTATTATTTGATGATTTTCGAATCCATGATGGTTTCTTTAGTTCTACATTTGGGCATTGAATAAAAGTGAAAGGGGTTCGATAGAGATTTTTCATTATCATTGTTATTTTTCTTAACCAAAATAGGTCTGGAAAAAAGAAGTATTCTCGTCGCAAAGATTTCTTTCGTTTTATTGGAGCTTTCAGCATTAAAACAACCTATGCTGATAACTAGGCATCTCATCTCAGCAAACTCACATAATTATCTTCAGTTAGTTCGGAGGCCAATAACAGGTTGAAACAAGACATAAGCATCGTACAGCGACAGCTATTGATATGTTTTATAGGAAAAAGTTCGATTTTATACAAGAAAAAAAGTCAAGTTATATCATCTTCATTGATTATGCATTGAAAGAAACGATACAAATGTTATTCAATAAGACATATCTCATCAGCGCATAATGTGTCATCATTGTAACCTGTCAAACATTTTCGAATTCATCCGATTCGACAAGAAAGTCCGAAGACTGAGAAATAAGAACACCTTTTTAACTTCCCCGTAACTATATGGCCCGAATTTCTATCACTATACCTTTACTCTCCATCTAGATTATGTTTCCGAAAAGTATTGTATTGGCTTTTATGAAAGATGAAATTGTGCGAAAGCTGATAGACAATTCTCGTTTTCTTGAAACATTATCATAAATTGGTGGAAAGTTTCTCCACAACTTGGTAATTTCTATCTCTTGATTCCTAGACATTGCCGTTTTACAACCAGATTGAAGTGCTCGATTTGATTATACAAGTCAATCGGTCAAAAACCAACCTGTTGCATATATCAATGAATAAGCTGTTCGTTTTTGAGAAAAGAGTATCAGTATAACTGCATGAAAAGATAGTGTGTGGAATTGAAATAACTGAGTTTTCTAATTATGAAATTCAGTATTTGACCTTCAATTCAAACTTTTCTTGTTTTCTACTCTTTGGGTCAAATTTTATATGAACTAAGAATCACAATCTGTTGACACACTCAGTAATACGAAAGAAAAGTTTATTTTTTCATATCTTTTACATCTCGTTCACATTTTGATCTGATATAGATGCTGGTTACGGCATTTTACATATTCTAAAGTTACTTGTTTTTCAGTTTAATTTTTAATATTTCTTGATTAATTTTTAAATAATCAAAATCCTATAACATGTCCATGTTTCACAGCTCAATTTTTTCTCAAATACAATTTCAAAAATCAAAAACTGGAATAAAAAAAAACATCAGGTTCCACAATGATTTCCATCCAGATTCAAAATACGTTACTTTGTGGCCTACTTCTCATTTGCGATCATAAGTCAAATAAAATTTTAAAATATTGTTAAAACTTTAAACTCTAGTCGACATTAAAGTTAAAAAAATTAACTATTTCTTTTTCCAAAACTACAAAAAGTTAATTAATTTAATTTTCAAGTTTTAATTGACAAATGCTCATATTTAACAATTTTCACTTTCAAGTTCGAATTGCATAAAGTTTAGGAAGATATAGAGTTCGCTGTTGTTTTCTCTGTAATTTCTGTTCTGGTTTAGGAAGATGTAGAGTTAGGTGAAATGTCTAGCATAAATCTAACTGAACATAAAAAAGATTTAAAAGTGTCGCCTATAGTCTGTTTGAAGCTAAGTGAATGCGGTCTGAAAGTATCACTTCTCATTTTGGAAAATTAGTGTAAGAATATGGTAGCAAAACAAAATTAGTTTCATATTTCAAGGGATTTGATTGAGAAAGCTTTATCAGCTTTGAGTTAATTATGAATTATGCTATTTCCAAAAAAAAAGATTTAAAAAGTGAGATGTAGTGTCCAGTAAATTGTTTTACAAAAGGCCAATGAAATCTTGCCGTATTTTAAACTAGATCACTGAAATAGGTTGATCGCGTGAGATTTTTTTCACAAAACCTATTTTCGAACGTAGCAAGATCATTTGATTTAGTTCAGGTAATGAATCTTAATCTTAATCAGGAAAGCTTCGAGGAAGGTGATATTCTTAATTGTCATAGTGAAAAACGAATCCTAATATAGCTCGAGTAAGGGGCGAAAAAGAAAAGAAAGTTTTGATGAAGATTGAAGGGAGATTTTGAACTGTTTCTCTCATGTTCCACAAACATGATTCAATATCCATTCAAAGTGTGATTTCGGTGGACACTTGTTTGAAGAGAACTTGAATATCAGCACCTAAATCTTGCCACGCTTACATTTTTGCCACAGTTTTCGTTGTTAAATAATTATATTTTTGGTTTCCAACCAGTTTTTTTTCAATGGAATATTGATCTTATGTTATTATAGAAAATAAATAGAGTTCCAATACAAAAACAGATTTATGACGGCTATATTGGTAATTCGGTCTAATCAACTCTAAATATGAGACTTAATTTAGAAGAAGAAGAAGAGCAATACGTAATTTAGCGCACTCTACTAATAAGAGCTGAATGTATTGAAACTCTGCAAGCCTATAACAAGCGAACTCTACATCTTCCTAAATCAAAGTATAGAAATTGCATAGAAAACAAGAGTGAACTCTACAAATTTTAGTTCTTGAAACAAAACTGCTGTTAAAATTCGTTTTAGTAAAAAATTTTAAATAATAAAAGCAAATGATCTTTAATTTTCGGAGTTCTTTTCAGAAAATGAGTTTTAACGAATTAAAAATCGAAAATTTGACACTTTCAATCGCTTTTAATCTGAAAAATTGAAATTAATTAAAAAATGAAGCATAATTTAATTGAATAAACTTTGAATTTTCGACTGTATGTTCGCAAATGAGAGGATACCAATGGGGCCTATACCATTCATCTTGAGCAGGACAGCTTGACAGAAGAATTGAAAATCGAAGAAGTATATTGCATGATTTTGCAATAAATGGATTTTACAGTTTTTAATATGAACATTCAATTGTTTATATGATCAATGACAGGATAGAATTAGAATAAAAGATTGCTTGTTTTTTTTTTATTATTGGGTTGTAACATAAGTTCTGCAGGTTTTTTTGTCAATCAACAAAATTTCACTGTCTTTTTCGAATCATAACCGGCTAGTTCCTGCAAATGTCTGATAGAACAATTGCTAGCAAGATGGGCCCAAGTTTCGAAAATAATGGCGACTGTATTGTTGATTGATGTTGCATATCTTTGTCGTAAAATAAATTTGTTCATTAACAACAAAACCTGCAAAACTTATGTTACAACCCAATAGATTCGTCAAATTTATATGTTACAAACAATAAATTTTTTCACAAAAATATCAGTATAGTTTATTGGGAGGTTTCACTCGTAAAAAAAGAAGAAAGAAACTAAAGCAATATTTATCAAAATCAAGCAATGGTTTGTTTAGCTTGTTTTAATGGCGAAAAATTTTAGTCAAATAAATGTTTATTACTTTTCATTAATAAGTTTGATAAAGAAAAATTTTTCTAGAAATTTCACATCAAGAAAATGACATATAATTTTAACGACATCTCAACAATTAAGAAATTACACACATTTAATATGTATTTTGTTCGATTTACATAAATAGTATATAGCTTACTGTGGTCAGTGATAGAGTATTGGTTTATTCGACTTATTTTTCAGTGCAAGATAAGCAGCATTTTTTAGTGATTAGAGTATTGTTGTGACAAAAATTATACAATGAAGAGTATGAGATGTTACTAATTTGAACTTCTTACAACAAAGTATTCGATGAGCACATAGTCGTTTCTTTCTTTTCATTCACTTCAGTGATGACATTTTATCTTTACTTTAACAAGCAAAACAAATTAGCTCATTTAGCTTTACCGGTTAGGTTATTTAAAAAGTAAAGTCAAGTAATGCAGATCAAAGTAAACTACAATACCTTCAATTGATTGTTGATTTTTCAGCTGAATATGCTTCACTGATAATTGTGATGTACTATTATCAATGTAGAATGTTAGATGATAAAATTAATATTATAATGAAAATAGTGAAATTTACTTTACGTTATTGTCTATTACTTTTTTCAGAATACAATAAAGATAAACTACCAGCTCTAACTCTCATGTAAACAAATATTCAGATCGGATTCATTTTTCAAAATAATGATGTTAATATTAGAGAAATTGAAGAAAAAAAAACGTGTTTTGACAGCTAAATCGATTAAATAAGCTTTTTGTTCTATGTATTGTCTTTTATTTAATTGATTCAAATGTGACAAACACTCTAGATAAAACAAGTTTGAGAGATCTATAGAAATCTTGAAAATCCGTTTTTTGGACCTCTGAACGTCTTTCATGAGAAGAAAATTTTTAAAACGAGTAGTTGTTTGATTGAATGAGGAGATTTAACAAGTTTTTTTCATTAGTTGTCAGTCTACAAAATCGCATTTAATAGTAAAAAGAGTGTCCCAGAAATTCTGTAACAAATTTGAAATTCGTCGTTCTCGCGTTCAACAAAAGCAAACTTCGTGAAACTTTGATAGATTGTTGTATACGTATATCAAGCATGACATAACGACAAAGTTTGAGGTTTATAGCTTTCATTATGGGTGAGAACGAGTAACAAAATTATTAGGTACTAATTG